ACTTAACTTAACTAACTAATTATAGTAGTGTTAATTAATTAAGTTAAAGCTAAATTAAGTTTACGTTTAACTTAGTAGTAGTAGTAGTTACTATAGTACGTTGTGTGTGTGTGTGTGTGTGTGTGTGTGTGTGTGTGTGTGTGTGTGTGTGTGTGTGTGTGTGTGTGTGTGTGTGTGTGTGTGTGTGTGTTGGTCTTCCTCAGCATTGCTCTCTGAAGAAATAATGCTTCCTTCATTGCCTTTTAGAACAATTTTATACCATTTAGATGATGTATTTCATGAAACATACAAGTACTTCTGGGGGAAATTACATGTCTCAGATGGCAGTCATACATTCATGCCCTTTAGATAAAGAAAAACAGGTAAAATTGCCGAGTTCCTAAATCCTAACCCTGAACATCTCAACAGTTACACTTCCACTTTTCATCAATATCTTAACCAACCACTAATCCATTTATAAAATTCATAAAACAAAGTGAAAATTGAATGCTTTCTAACTGACCAATCTAAAGCAAAATATAAAAATTAAAAAGCCAAGTTTAACACAAACTGCACATCTTGCTGTACCAAAGACTTGATTTTATGCCTAGAAATCATTTTGTAAACTTCTTGCATTTCCAAGTACTCTTTCTTAAGATTAAAATATGAAATAATTCTGAACATTTAACAACTGATTTGAAACTTATGTTGTTCTTTTTTAAGTTCAAAGTTTGGCTTTCATAGGTTTTTTAATAAACAATTACACATGCTATACTATATAAGAAGGATAACGATACTTAAGATAAACAGTTCATCTCCTATTTCTTCACTATGTTGGCATATAGTGGAAGCACAGGGGTTACTCAAACTCTCTTTTTGTTTTAATGGAAGTTCCCAATGTTCACTGGTTCTAACTAGTAGATGGCATTTAGTTTTTCCAATATAGGATGCCTTACAGTTTCCAAAAGTGTAAATATATACAAGCCAAGAACAAAGAGAAATTGGGAAAAGGTCTTTAGTAAGGAAAAATATCGTATGGGGGAAACGAGTTTAAAAACTAATTTATTTATATTTTGTTGGTGTGTGTGTGTGTGTGTGTGTGTGTGTGTGTGTGTGTGTGTGTGTGTGTGTGTGTGTGTGTGTGTGTGTGTGTGTGTGTGTGTGTGTATATATATTATTATATATCTACTACTAACTAACTAATTTTACTCTACTTACGTAACGTTAACGTTAAAGTAAGTGACACAACAAGTATATTACTTACGT